CAAGAGATAACCACAGGGAGGAAGTGGGAAGAGAGCTGTTACATTGTGGGGAATTGTGGTCAATGTCATGAAACAAAATGTATATGAACTATTGTATAGAAAATGAATTTGCTCTGTAAATTTTTACCCAAATCACAATAAAATTTTTTTAAAAAAAAAGAAGAGGTGAGAGGATAGGGTGTGACAGATGTGTGCCTGGTGAGCTGCAGGAGCAGCAGGCTGCAGCCTGGTCACCCGCGCAGACAGACATTACCAAAACGCACACTGCTTTATCCGGCTACATGGACCCCATGAAAGGAAGAGAGAACTGTGTCCAGGCAGGATGCACAGACGGGCATGCAGGACATACTGGCCTCACCTGAGGAGTTCCTGGGTGGCAGGAATCGTTGATGCACTCAGCTTCTAACAGCAAGGCTGGAGGCTCGAGTCTAAAGAGACGTGCCCCGGAAGAAAGGTCTGGTGATCTGCTTCCCCAGCATCAGCCCCTGCAAACCCTGTGGAGCACAGGTCTACTCTGATACACATCTGACACAACTGACTCAACAGAAACGTTTCTCTTTTTAACCTTAACTGTGCCAGTAGAAATGTTACAGATTTACTCTTCACTCAAAAGGTGCTCTTTGTTACTTTATTTTCAGCCCTTGGAAGTTTGTTTCTAGAAAAATACATCATGCCATAAACTAGGTATTTGTTCATTCACATGAGAAAGTTAACATCGTAGTTTTCAACAGAAATCTCAGGCACTTCCAGTAAACATTCATCAGATTTGGGTACCTATTTTCACCCTGCGATTTGTAAAATATCTCATGTTGAAATACCACACCAGCCACACACACACACGAGTGCTGTCCCCTCTCACGTGGCCGCTGCTGCGAAGCACAATTCTGTTTTTCTCCAAAAACATTTGAAACTCCAATCTGGGGACTCACTCAGGTAAGCAGCTCCACCCACAGGCCACCTCTAAGCACACCAGAACGCCGGGGCCACCATCACCTAGTGCTCTGGTCTCAGCCCCTCGGGGCAGGCCAAGGCCGGGCTCCTTGTTTGACACCCAGCTCCGGAAGTCAAGAAGAGGTGCTGTCTGCGTCCCTGGCCACATGCTTGCATTCAGCAGCCGGATCTGGGGAAGGAACACTTGTGTGCGACAGTCGGGACATCCTGGCCTGCCTGCGACGAGTCCGTCTCCTCACTGTGAAGTCACATCTCAAACCGTGCACCCTGGTGAAGGGACTGGACAACTACTCCAGGCTGGGGGCAACCCAGTTCTAGGAAAAAAAATCCACCGTGGTGCCCACCCGTACTGTGATGCGAATCTGCTGCCGGCCAGGATGGAACAGCAGCAGTTAGGACAAACACCTCGGGCCCAACTTAACAGGCAGACGAGCGGGCCCTGCACCTTTGGTTCAAGGAGCCAAAGTGCCCACCCTGGCCTCAGTGCTGCCCGATAAGGAAGTTCCCCATCACGTACTCCTGGTCTGCTGACCTGAAGAATCACAAGTCCCAAATCTGCAGAAGGGGAACAAAATCTCAAATACGACAATCCTAAGAAAGGGAGAATTCCAAGGAAACTAAAACGCAGGGCCCTTTTCTACTTATAAAGGTCCAGCGGGTGTTGCCGACATCCCACTTTCAAGTCGCTTCCTGGAGGAAAGCTTCCCCCTGTGGCCACAGGTCACAGCAGGTTCACCCCGTGCTTCAGCAGCTTCTGCTTAGCTTTGCCGGAGAGGCCGAAGGCCCCATCCTGGGGGCTGGGGAAGCCCGAGCTCCGGGCCGGGGAGGCCAGCTGCTGGAAGTAGGTTTCCTGGACAGGGCTGCAGCAGGCGTACACGGCTGTGGAGGCGTTCCTGCGGAGGCAGAGGAGACCACGGTATTCTCGGACCACAAAGACCCTAGTGAGTCCAGTCGTCACGGCGGCCCCCGGCCCCTGAGTGCGCATGTGCAGGCCACTGTGGTGCAGGCTTCCAACTGCGCACTCAATTTCAGGCTTTGGGGCCTGTGAGAGTCTTTCCTTCCTTTCAGTGTACCGGATGCTGGGACTGCCACGGTGGCCAGCGTCACCCAGCCTGAAGGTATAATTACGGAACGAGTGTATCAACAACTGCGTGCTTGGCAGATACACTGGCACGTGCTACACGCCAGGGGCTGTGCACAATGCTTGTCCTCTGGTTCATTCTTCACACGAGCCCTGTGCTGTGGTGGTATGATCCCTATTTGAGAGACAAGGACCCTAAGGCTCAGAGAGCCCTGCCCTTGTGACGCTGGAATGACACTGTCAGAGGACGGTGACTAATCCTCTGTCCACACTAAGGGTAGTCAGATGATGAGTTAGGGATGTGAAGTCACATGACAGAAACCCTGGGGGCACAGAAATAGAGGGCAGTTGCACTTGGGAATAACTGACCCTGGGGTCACATGCCCACCTGGTTCCCAGTTCCTGCCTGTCTTGGACAACTGGGGGACCTTGGGCAAGAAGTCCTCACTGGACCTCTCAGTTTCCCCCAGTCAAGCAAGAGTGGGTTGAGTCAGCGACTGTGAATGTCCCCTTCCAGATCTCTCCTTCCATGTTGGGGGGCAGAATCCCATCCTCCTCTAGCTTCCACTCTGGGCCCCAGGGGCTTAAGGGCCCATCTGGCTTAACTGATGGCTGCCACTCACTGGACCAGCAGGTCCAGCACTTCTTATAGCCATGGAGGGAGGCGCCACGGCCTGGCCGTTACCTGCACGGACCTGCAGTCAGACATGCCATGGTGCTACTCCCAGCCCTACCACTTCCTGGCTGTGTGCCCTTGGCTAAGTTAGGTTGCCTCTCTGAGTCTCAGTTTTCTCATCTGGAAAATGGAGATGACAATAGGACTTATCGCAATGATTTCTTTAAAGAGATTAAATGAGTAGGAAAACGTATAATAAATACATTGCCTTAGGTAGGGGTTTGTGTGCATAGTGAGTGATGGAGAAATGGTGGTGGTTGTTTTCATTACTATTACTAAAATAATCTCTCAACAAACACCTTCAGCTACAGATCCCCATCATGAATTCTTATTAAGGTGAAAAAAAGCCCCCTCAGCGCCAAGGAAGGAGAAATACTGCAGAGCCACAAGGTCCTTAGGGGTCAGGCGCTGGCACTTTCCCTGTTCCTTCTCTAACACAACACACATGCGCGCACACACACACACACACATGCACAGACATGCATGGAGACGCACACAGACAGACACGGCCAGGCCCCAAACCACTGACTGGATGCAAATCACATCCGGGATGCCAGGCTGGGGCAGCTCTGAGCTGAAGCCAGGAGAGACAGTTGTCAGGGAACGACAGACTGCAGTAGTGGGCGGAGATGGTGCCGGGCAGCAGAAGTTCCTGGCACTGAGTGTGGTGGGAGGGAGCCTCAGCACCACTGCAGTAACAAGAACCGAGCCTCCGATGCACGTCCAGGGTGGTCCAGAGCCCACACACCCCCCTACCCTTGAAATGTGTGCAAAGAACATGTGTTTTCCAGTCAGGTCCGGGCTCTGCCACTTACTAAGAATGCGGCCCTAGGCCAAGTCCATTTCCTATTCGTGCCTCAATTTCCTCGTCTCTAAAGTGGGGATTAAGTAATGCATTGAACCAGATGGTGCCAAGGACTAAACGGAAGGCTTCGTACAACTAACGCCCGGGACATGGCAGCCAACCCCCTTCTGGCCCTGTAACCTGTCTCATCTTCTGCTACCCGTTTCGTAAGAGAGAAAATAGACTGGTGATTAAAGATTTGCAAATCACAGGAGAAACAGACAGATCTACACCTACAGACGTGACGGTGTTCGAGGTACACGGTAAACTGAAAAAATCACCTAGTAGCAAAGTACATTAGTATGATCCTATTGTTTAAGAGAATGTTAAAGCAATGTTTTAAAATAATAATAATCTCCACTCTATGTACAAAAAAAAAGAACCCCAAACCAACAAAAAGTCTGGAGTAATATACACTAAACTGCTCCCTGTGGTTGCCGCTTCGGCGGGTGATGGGGCGAGTGAGGAGGCATGTGTTACTTTTATGCTTCTGAGAAGTCTAAACGCTTTTAGGATGAGCCTGTATTACTTTTCTTAATTAGGAAGACAACAACATTACTGAAACACGATTGATGGCCAGGAAACAGACTACCTCCTGCCTCAGTAATGATGGGAGGGCCTTAAGATTTTTCTCACTGTTGTAACCCCTGAGCTTAAAGCAGGTCCAACCCCCAGTAAGGAGTCAGAGAACACAGGACCCATCACTGAAGGCGGGTGGACGACGGCAGCCACAGAAGCAGAAGGCAGGCCTGAGCGGAGCAACTGGGATGGTCGTCATTCCCTTACGTGTGAAGCACCAACGGGCCCCCAGGAAGCAGGTTCTGAGTCTGTCTCACCTGACGGTCACCTCGTACAGTGCAGGCCGCTGGGCAAAGTCAGAATGTATCAGGTTGACGGCCTGGAGGAAGCGCTGATCCCGGGCTGTGGCCACTGGTGGCAGGTTTGCTTCAGGAAGAGGACAAAGAGGTTGTGACTTCGGACCCCGCTCGTCCCACTCGAGCCCCCTGCACTATAACAGGGGCAGGGCCCAGCTCAAAGTTATGGGGGTGGACGTCGAAGAGAGAGACGCTGGCCCCAACTGGTGCCACTGGTCAGGAAAGCACATGCCTCCCCCGGTGACGACCACCACCCAGGCTCCGCACACTCATCCCCCAATCGCGGCCGGACTTACCACAGATGAGCGAGCTTGTGTGATACCTCTCAAAATGTTGGGGAACAACCCAGAGAGACCAATGCGTACATCAGTGTTTGCCCAGTGAATTCTAAGGTCGGCAGGAGCTGGCCTACAGCAGAACTCAGCCAGTGCTAATCCCCATCAGACAACTCGGCCCAGGGGACATTCACACGGTGCTGGGCCCCGAGCCTACGCCCCCAGCTCCCGCAAGCACCCTGGGCCCAATGCACCCAGCACAGGGCACCCTCATCCGGTGCTGGGCCCCAAGTCTCCCCTTCCCTTGCCCCTGCTGGCACCCTGGGCCCAGCGCTCCTTACCCATCAGCACGTTCTGAATGCTGTCGTAGTGCGTGAAGTTGTAGGTTCTGTTCACCGGGGAGGCCTCGTCTTTGGGGAGCGTCTCCTTCAGGTGGACCTCCAGCCCGTTCAGGGACGCCAGGCTACTGTGGTACTGCGAAGGGGCCAGAAGAGGGGGCATGCTAGCAGAATGTGCCTCAGAGCCTCTGACAGCCTGCTCTTTTACCACGAACTTTGATAAAAAATAACAATCCAAAGAGTTCCTTAGCGGCCACCTGATTTAGCTTTCTGGACTCTGACAAGTTTCGCCTGTTTTTAGAGAAGTACTGATTTCCACCCTTACGTTCTCTCTGTTTTTTAAATAAAAGATTATAATGTAGGAAATTAGAAAACAGAGATGAGCAGGAAAAAAAAAAATAATAAGGAGAAAAGCAACAGAGAACTGACCCCTCCTCTCCCATCCAGGAAATACTACTGTGGACACCACGGACTGTCAGCTTCTACTCAGGCTCCCAGCAGGGCTGACAAGTCCTCCACGGTCTGTAATGGGTTAACGTCTCCCCCTTCATCTAGAGGCACACTGTCCTGGGAAGGACTGAGGAGTGTCAGGCAGATGGCTCTCTGGGTTCTGGTTCAGAAAAGGAAGCTGGGTGAGGACGGTTGCCCGGGAGCCAAGGTCCAGGTACCTGCATTTCAAAGCACCTTCCACTAGGAGGTGAGGAAGGTGCAGGTACAGCTGAGAACACATTTGGGTAACTCTTTTCTTCTAAAATAAAAATGAGATCAAGCCATAAGTAATGACTGCAAATGCAGCCTTTTAACGTAACGGCATGACATGAACGGCGTTCCTCATCCTTAACCGTTCTGCAACGTCATTCTTGGAGCTCCACTTTGGGCTGGACCAAGGACGCCGTCACCTGACAGGCTCAGGCTGGAAGAGGGGCCTCCCGTGGGTCTCCCAGCTGCCCTGGGGCCCTGTCCTCTCTGGGGCTACCGCAGCCACAGGAGGGCCACTGTTCCCGAGCGGCAGATGGCTGGCCCACACAGGCCATTCAGGCTCAGCCTCCTCCTGGCTGAGTGACCCAGGCTCAGTCGCTCAATCTCCTCTGGTGCCTTTTTCTGGTTCGTCTGCAGAATGGGAACCCTCTGTAGCATTCTTGAGCAGCGTGAGTGCAACAACATACACCAACGTCCTCTGGACACTCCAAAGGGCTATCCTGAGGCGAGGAGGTGTTTTAAAAAGTGTCACTAAAATGAGGCCTGCATTTAAGAAGTGGTGGCTTTTAACGAGGACATATGACTTGTCTATGGAATGAGTGACAACTTTCAACAGTTGTGTAAGAAAAATCCAAAACCAAACTCACTGCCACTGAGTCAGATCCGACTCGTAGCGACCACTCCTTGGGTTTCTGAAGCAGTATCTCTATTGAAGTAGATTGCCCAGTCTTCCTTCCGAGGAGTGGCTGGTGGGTTTGAACCGCCAGCCTTCTGGTTAGCAGTCACATGCCTTAGGCGCTATGCCACCAGAGCTCCGTAAGACTGGGTGCACAGAAAAAAGACAGGCAGACAGTGCTGCTGAAGTGAAAGTTACAAAGCTCACGTGTTGCTCTGTTAGTCTATGGCATTAAGATTTCTGTCAGAATGACTGGGAAGTTCCTTAAAGTACATGGCTTCATTTTATGTACTTATCTTTGTACCCCAGTTGCTAGCAGAGTCCCTGGCTCCTAGCAGGGGCTCAGTAAAGTCCCATCAAATAAATGGATAAATGAACAAGGCCAACGTTGTGCATGTTCGACTTAGGAGCTACTCTGTTTAAACAGAAGGTGCAGAGGTAAGTGAGAGTTTCCACACTCAGGACAGACAAGCACAATCCCTCATGTTGGGATCGTCAGCAGAAGCCTAATCCACACGACTTTACAGATGCTAATGAGCTTCCTATGTGAGCAGACGTGTGTGTGAGCATACGTAGCAGCCTTCACCAAGAAGTCCCAGCCTCACTGGCAGCTTCCGGACCGCAGGGACCTGACGACAGTCACCTCTTCCATCCCAAGCCAGTGCCCAGGGGAAGACACAGTGAAGACAGAGAGTGAGCCATGCCAAGCCTGAGCTTCCCTGCAGACATGAAGCTCCCCTTCCGGAGTCTTTGGCCAAACCCGGACTCAAATACAATTACTTAACCGTAAATGCAGTTAATCACAAGATGGTGTGTCGGATGACACGTGGGCATTTTTTTTTTTACTGGTGACCAAGTGCTTTCCTACATGGCAGGGGTCACACACTCTGGCCCATGGGTCCAATTCAGCCTACTGTCTGCTTTTGCACAGCCTGTGAGCTAAGAATCATTTTGGTATTTTTTAATGGTTGGGGAATAAAATCAAAAGAAGGATCATATTTTGTGACATGGGAAAATTATCTGAATTCCAATTTCCATGTCTGTAAAGTAACAGTTACTGGAGCCCAGCCATATTTACTCCGTCCACGGCAGCTTTCATACTGCGCCTGCAGAGCCAAGGAGTGCAAAGCCGAAAACATTCGCTCTCTGGTCCTTTAAACCCCTACTCTATGCTACTCCATACTGTGATCCTCAAAGCAGCCCTGAAGGAGCCCTGGTGGTGCAGTGGTTGAGCGCTCGGATGTGAACCCAAAGGTTGGTTCCATGGGAGAAAGACCTGGCCGCCTGGGAAACCCTCTGGGGCAGTTCTACTCTGTCCTATAGGGTCCTAGGAGGCTAATTAATTACCAATTGCCATCGAGTGGATTCCAACCCATGGTGACCAATTTGTGTCAAAAACCCTGTGCTCCATAGGGTTTTCATTGGCTGAGTTTTTGGGCGGAGATGGCCAAGCTCTCTTCTGAATCAACTGATTTAATTAGCTGGGACCAATTCCTGGACCTTCTCACTTCT